CGTTCGGGACCGCCTCGCCTCTCTTCGGGACCAACCGGCAAAATTTGCATCTTGCATCTGTTTGTCTTTCTGATGATTTTCATCATTTGAACTTGTATCTTGATAGTGGATAGATCGCACGGTCGTCGAGCTTAGACAAAATAAATAAAATAATTGTCTAGTGTCTAGCCGGGAGCGTCGTGTTCTTGCTGGTTCACTGCTCTGTGTGTTTTCAAATCACTGTTTTGTGTTTTTTTGCACTTCGCGCTGAGCTATTTTTTGACATTTGGTTGGAAAATAATAATTCGCAGTTTACCATCGTTATCTGTGCGTCACTAGTTATCAGGTTTAGGTACCTATTCAGATTCACAATTCAGTTCAGTTTACGACGGGCGACGGTGAGAAACGTCCAACCGACGTCACGTGTACACGGTGTATATTTATAATTCCCTCTCTTTTTGCTGAGCTGTGGCCTGTGGCACTTACGGTGTGTGGTGTATTCCTGTTCACGATTCCATTGGAAATTGGAAGGAAAATGGCATACAAACTGTTATTATTAGAATGGGGCCTTGATTTTAATTGATATAAAACTATTAAGTTGCCAGAATAACTAAATTATATTTCAAACGTTACTAAATCACTTTTAATAGTAACTAGATTCCATTTCAGTCAAAATTAAATATTTAATTTGCAACAACACACTCACTATTAACGTCAGAAGGAATGAGTAATTGCCCCAACTGGGATAATTTGTTGCGATAACAAACATATATTGAAACAGTACTAACAATCTAATTGTCATAACTATGTATCTTGATTGTGGCGAATAAAACTTGGTATTATTCCTTAAAAAGGCTTATTAGTTACCACAACAACGTCGTAGATGACTCAACTAAACTTTTCATTTGAGGCAAATAGGTGTTTCCAGAAAAACAGAATTAGTTATGGCAATAACTAATGCTTGCTGTCCCCTATCGTACTAAAAAATTTTTCTGTAGTTACTAATTTTTTAGTAACGGCTACAATTTTTTTCCCTCAGTGAAGTTCATTTTGACAAGAGGCTTCAGAAAAGTACCTCGAAAATGGTTTTTTTACAGCGATTCAATGTGCGCAAGACGCGTTGAAAATGTTTTGTTGTGTCCATGAAAAGGCTTTAAAAAGAACTAGGGAGAAGGTAGTTTTGTGACATATCAAGGACATCTCGATAATTGCCGCCTGCAGCGGACATTGGCTGTTCTATGATAGTTCTATTCATGTGTGAACAGAACATCGCAGTGGAGGTTCAATGTCTCGAAATCTCGTGCTTTTAACATCTCTGAGATGTTTTTGTACTCGCTGGGTAGATTATTTGTTCACAGATTGTGAAAGCTTCCTTCATTGAACTAGAAGTAATTTTTTTTCTGCCATAATTATAACGATTTCTGTTCTAGTAGCTACTTTGCCAACCACATTCTCAACTCCAAACAGAGTTTCAACATTGACAATAGTTTAGGAATTTTTCAGGGCATCGAGATAGAGTATTGTTTACCAATCTTGATTCCTTTTCCAATCTGACATAGTTTTTGTTCTCTGGTATTGTGTGCTCACTGCTCAAATCATAATATTCTACTTGATGTATCTTTATATTCCATGATCTGCTTGACTTGACATTTGAAATTTTCTGACGTCTGTCATGTCAATTTTTGTATTACCATCATTTTCACGCACAGGTGATTCTTTCAGTTAATCAGGTTAATTTTGATGCTTCATCAAAGTTTTCAGTAATTCAAGGGCACTTGCCCCTTGTAAAATATGAACCCGACCTTTGAATTGATAACATAAAAAATGTATATTATTTTACAGAGACAATGAGTTTTTTCACTTTGTTCCTTAATATTTCTAAACCCATTGTTTTCCAGAACATGGAGCATATTTCCCTGTTTGCCCTGTTATTAACTATTCTATTTGAATGTCTACTTTTTTCATTTCTATGTGAGTACTGAGTAGTTCTTGCATTCATATCCTAAGTCAATACCGATTTTTCTAGAACTATGCTACTTTCTATTTGCTGATGATGGGCTTATATAGGCCGATACATGGTCCTTTACGATTGATCTTTGATCATTCTGATAAATGTTGTGGACATGAATTTGAGTTTTCATCTATGAAATTTTCTACTCAGTAGCCAATGTCGGTTTTTGGTAGCTACTATACTGTCGTGAATATGGCGTAGTCGGCAGTTTTCTTAGATCATTCTGTATGTAAATACTAAATACAGTGATTGGTGGAAATATAGGATGAAATATCAATTGATGAAAGAAAATTGGGTTTTACTCGTATCGTTATTTGTTACAAAACAATTTGAGGTTTTTGGATGTATGACGAATTGATATTCATCATACAGGACGTGGAAAGAATGACTGAAAGATAACTGGACTTCAGCTTACTGAGGAGGGTTTGAAATCCTAAATGAGTTGATTCGAATGAAGTAATATAACCTGTTTGTGAGAGATATGATTCCCATATCACTGATACCGATGATTTTTTTTTTGAAGTTTCAAGCTCATCAAGATCAGAGTTTATATAACTTTCTTCCTCCAATACATTTCAATTTTCATTTAAATACTGAACATATTTATATTTTCATATCATAATACATCCAAGGCATATCTCCAAGGCATTCGATCGAGTCTGGCACCACGGGCTTCTCGCCAAGCTTCCATCTTATGGCTTGCCTCCCGAGCTATGTTCTCTACTAACTAAATTTTTCTCAAACAGGTCTCTTCATGTAGTGGACGACGGAGTTTCATCTGAATCTCTTTTTATAAATGCTGGTGTTCCGATAGAATCTAGCACCAACACTATTACATAAATATTAACATAAATATGTACTTGGCAACAATTCTCAAATGGGGATCTAACAACTTGGTAGATTTCAACAAAACACAAGCATGCCTTTTCTCTAGAAGAGCCGATCTCACTGTGGCCAACATAAGCTTGTCAGGAGTAACCATACCTTTGGAGACATCCATTTCTATGCTTGGTATTACTATCAGCAATAACCTTTCTTGAGAAAATCACGTGAGATCAATTATTGCTAAAAGTGCATCCCAAAAACTCGGTTTCCTGTTTCGGGCCAGGAGCTATTTAACTCCCAGTCAGCTGCTTATGATCTATAAGGCACAGATCCGACCTGTCCTGGAATACTGTTCCCATATTTGGAGTTCAGCACCCAAACATACCCTGAAACTGTTGGATTCTGTCCAAAAAAGGGCAATTCGTCTCGTGGGTGATGCCTCACTCATAAACTCACTCATTTCTCTGGAACACCGTAGAAAAGTTGGCGATGTAGCTCTATTTTATAGATATTCTCATAGACGATGCTCTTCTGAAATATCAACAATTGTTTCGCCCTTGGCAGTCCCCTCGAGATTAACCCGTCGAGTTGAGGCTTCGCACCCGTTCGTGGTCACTTTGGAGACCTGCGCAGAACATATCTCTGTCCAAAGACTCGTTCATCCAACGAACAGTGAGGCTCTGGAACACATTGCCAAGGGAGGTGTGATCCGAGGCATATAACCTCCGGGAATTTAAGACGAACACCAATTCCTACCTTATTTCCCTTGGTTCTCACGATGTTCTCTGAACATTATAGGATATCCCTTTTCGTGGGAACCAGAACATAAGAATCGGTGATTTTCCGAAAAATATTCTTTTTAGAAAGAAGGTTCATGTGGGCCGAGTAAGGTTAGTATTAAAAAAAATAGTTTTCCTCCGATTGGCAGCAAATATTAATTTTGCTGACACATATCAATCAGCAAAGTATTACTTTCCCTGCCTAGGCAGCAAAGTGGGTACTTTGCTGCCTAGGCAGCAAAGTGGTTACTTTGCTGATTGATATGTATCAGCAAAATTGAAAATCCATCAATCGTTTATAATTTCCTTCATATTTCATCCGAGACTTCTCCGGCAACAAATTCAACTCTATATTTTTTGCCACCTCCCTTATTAATGGAGGTGTAAGTATACTTCCAGGTCGCTATCACTGTCCATTATATAATAATTTAAATATACCGATATTTTTTCGCACAACTGTCAGAAATTTCATGAATTGTCAAACCAACAACTGCGATTTCTATCAAATTTTATTTTAATTGAACACTATAAAGGAATAATAAAGAGATTGTGGGAATTGTATTAATTCGCAAATACAATATTCTCCCATATCATTATGAACAATCGGAGAAAAAATTATATGTTCAACTCGGCAGCAAAGTAGATTGACTGCCTTAGCTGGATTCCTAGCCTCGCTACGCTCGGCAATGAATTCAGCCTCGGCAGTCAATCTACTACTTTGCTGCCTAGTTAAACAAATAACTATTCCTTCCTCCCTGGAAAAAGTATTGTGTTGGAGGCATTTATTGTTGAAGCCGATAGTGATTCACTATTTCAATGATGGTCTTTTTCAGGATCTGCCTCAATTGAGGATATTCGTTGTTAATAATAATAATAATGATAATAAAAATAATGGATTTTATTGACAGGTATAGGTAAATGCAAAATAAACAAAAAATAATACAGAGCTGAGAACTGAATACCTATCAAACGGCAGAATTCAAGTTCAGATCATGTCACCAGTGATAGTGACGTAATCAGAACTTGCTCTTTCATTCAACGGAGGGAAAAAATTATTATCACTATTTATACATAAACCTATAAGTAACCAAATATAAAATAATTTGAATTTACACATAAACATTTCAAATATATAAGTCATCATAATGGAATGCATGATGAATTTCAATAATCATTGATAAATGAAGTAAATACTATACATCAAAGTAACTGAGGCAAAGAGTTATGGAGTAAGTCAGATTTCAGTTTTTTCCTGAAATTTGGAATCGATAGTGTTTTCATTGAATTATTAGTTAGGGTGATCAGTAGAGTTCAGTACTCGCGGTCTCACGCAGTGGCGTTCCCCCACCGCGATGATTATTATTCTCCACCTGTCTGTAGGCGAAAGTGAATTTTACGACACTCACCTCTCAGGAAATCGAGATGCGTGTCGATGACAGCCTCCTGGTCGCTGGCCAGGAACCTGGCGCTCCACAACACGTCGCCGTCGATGGGCTGGCGCACATGGCAGCCCAGTTGCGTCGCGAAGCCGCCGTCCAGGACGACGACGTCGGCGGCGACGCCGGTGCGGGAGGTGGGCGAGGAAGCGTCCGTAGAGCTGCCGATTCCGGGCGGGGACATCTTCTCGAGGTGAGCTGGAATTCGATGATAACCCAATGATAATAGTCATCTACAACCCAGATAGCACAAGTACATTCATAGATAATAAATAGAACATCTGAATGTTCTCAGAATATTTCCACAATAATAATAATAATGATGATATAAATCGTCTTTATTAGTGAAGGTAGATAGTAGGCGCAGTTTAGCCAAAGGCTACTCTTCCTCTAACCTAATATGTACAATAATTGAAGTAAACTAATATGATGAATGGGAATAAAGAGAAGATGTTCAAACGTAACACATAACAATAATAATTCATAACAGAAGTATGAAGCCATATGAAATAATGTGACGAGGTGAGTAAAGGCTGAAATAAGATACAAGAAAATTCAGGAGATCAATATACTCTTAATATTCTGTGCACATTGTATGGACATCCAAAGTGGACTGGATTCCACATTCCGTAAAATGGGGCGAGTTGAAATTAGGGGGCGATTTGGAATATCCGTGCGCACTCGAACTCAACCACATGCCACCATCTTTCTATTTTATTTTATGTTCTGGTTCTCACGAAAAGGGATCTGTAATGTTCAGAGATCATCGTGAGAACCAAGGCAAATAAGGTAGGAATTGCTGTTCTTCTTGAATTTCTGGAGATTATATGCTTCGGGGAACACCTCCTTTGGCAATGTGTTCCAGAGCCTCGCTGTTTTTTGTATGAACGAGTCTTCGGAAAGAGATGTTCTGCAGGTCTCCAAAGTGACCGTGAAGGAGTGCGAAGCCTCATCTCGACGGGTTAATCTCGCGGGAACTGCCAAAGGAGGAAGAATTGTTGATATTTCAGAAGAACATCGTCCAAGAAAATATCTATTAAATAGAGCAAGATCGCCAACTTTTCTACGGTGTTCCAGAGAAGTGAGTGAGTTTGTGAGCGAGACATCATCCACGAGACGAATTGCCCCACAATGGACAGAATCCAACAGTTTCAGTGTATGTTTGTGTGCTGCACCCCAAATATGAGAACAGTATTCCAGGGCAGGTCGGATCTGTGCCTTATAGATCATAAGCAGCTGACTGGAAGTGAAATAGCTTCTGGCCCGAAACAGAAAACCAAGTTTGTGCAATGCACTTCTAGCAAATGATCTCACGGGATTTTTCCAAAGAAGGTTATTGCTGATAGTAATACCAAGCATCAACATGGATGTCTTCAAAGGTTTCGTTACTCCTGACAAGCTTATGTTGGGCACAGTGAGATCAGCTTTTCTGGACAAAAGGGAGAAAAGGCATGCTTGTGTTTTGTTTGCATTGAAATATACTAAGTTTTTGGATCCCCATTCGAGACATGTTGCCAAGTCCATATTCATGTTGTCAACATTTCTCCCTTGTTCTCTTCTGATTTACCTGGCTGGTATTGGAGTCCTGGAAGGGAAGGCGGTATGGAGCGTTCTATCATCCGCGAAGCTGTGTACTAGCACCAACACTATTTCTAGAAATAGTGTTGGTGCTAGAATTGATCCTTGCGGTACACCAGCATCTATGATGAGAGAGTCAAATGGAACTCTGTCGACCACTACATGGAGAGACCTGTTTGAGAGAAAACTAGCTAGCAGTGAACATAGCTGGGGAGGCAAGCCATAAGATGGAAGCTTGGCGGGGAGAACGTGGTGCCAGACTCGATCGAATGCCTTGGAGATATCAAGTGCCACGGCTAAGGTTTCACCATATTTTTCAAAAGATTGCTGCCACATATGTGAGACGTAAGCGAGCAGGTCACCAGTTGATCTCTGAAGACGGAAGCCATATTGCCTATCGTTGATAATACCTGAATTCTCCAGGTATTTCATGAGCTCTATGGTGATAGGTCTCTCCATCATCTTCGAAATAATAGATAACAGTGCGATCGGTCTGTAGTTGCTAGGTAGGGTCTTTTTGCCTTTTTTAGGAACTGGTTATACTCTTGCAATTTTCCAGTTGGACGGGAATATCCATAATTTGTAAGAGTAGTTGAACAACTTGCGAAGAACAGGTGTTAGTTCGGGGGCACCCACAAGCTTTGTTGGTGTTGAGACCCAATCAAATCTCCCTCATAATACGTTGGCGAAAGGTGATCTCGGGCATATGAATATCAATTGGCGTTATGTTTGAAGGTTGTTTTCTCGATGGATCCAGAGTGAAATTTCCAACGAATAAATGCAACAGTAAAAGCTGAACATTATGTATCTACATACATATCATATCATATGTGATGAATGTTGAAAGAATCTATATGAAATAAAGATGAAAACATTCTAATTATCTTATCTCTGTGATTCAGGATGAATTGTCCGGCGGGCCTAATTTCGGCCGGAAAGTACCTTGGCTACCTGCTCAAAGCAGAGGGCCCATCTAATGACATGAGTAATTTCGACCAAGGAAATTTCGGCCGAGGGTACATGCTATGATTATGGGAAATATTGGTTTATGGGTTCACCTTATTATTGAAGATATCCTTCCACAAATTATTTATTACCTACTAGCTATATAATATATTAGGCCGAGTTAGGTCAGATTGTTTGGAAGAAGTAGTCTCCTTTCTCATGTTATTATTCACTGAGCCCTTCACAAAACAATTTACCTATGCAGTATCAGGTAAAACAGAGTTTGGGACCGAACTTATACCTTATTCATTACCTGCTCCGTTAGGCCGAAAATGCTTATAAGATAAGAACAAACTCTCAAACCTCCGGCCGAATTTACATGTCCTTTTTAAGTACCTGACCTTATTGCGGCCGAAATTTCATCCGTCCGAATTGTCATGATTATAAGATATTTCGATGAGGGTGGAGTATTGCCCCAAATGACCACCCCTCTGATCCGCCCCTGGAAAAATAGCAGTCGATCATCCATAAATATTTGACTCATAATTTCAGCTAAGACTGCAGCTGCTCCATTTGCGAGTACTCATCGCTGAAATTTTCTCTGAATCCGAATTACCTTCAAAGAGAGTCACTCAAGAGACTGGCAAACTCATCCCAACTTTTGTCGCGGTAATCTTCAGTATTCTTTCAGACTTGGAAGTTCCCGGCAAATATTTTCCAACTTTCCATCCGGACGAACAGATTTATGTACTTTCCATTAAAAATAATGCCACGTACTTCTTCTGTCATCTCTTCGTTTCCGAATTAACACTTGGACGAAGTCATACAGAATAAATATCTCCAGCGCTCACTTGAGGTGACTGAATCGTAGGAACCAGCGGCGGATCTAGCAAGCTTTTTCGTGGAAGGAAGGGCATAACATTTTATGTCATGATTTTTTTTTCACAAAATGATAGTGTTGTCGAATTCTCATTCACTTATGAATAAAAGTTATCGGTCGCGTGCACGATGACCGACCCTGGAAGTGAGACATTGAAACACGTCTCACTTTTCTGTGAAACATCGGAACACAACCTTACTTTTCTTATTTGTTAACAAAGGAATCGAAGGATTGAAATAGTTCTTCACAATATTCTGGCATACGAATCGTGTTTTTGGGCTATCCATTAATTCAAGCATGCCATGACATTTTGCTGGTGTACAATGCACAAAAAATGCAGCGAGAGAAGAATGAATCCGATTTTTCCGGTGAACAGTGATCTCACATAGTGAATTTTGCCATTTCTCTCTAGAATTGCTTCTGCCCTTTTGCAACAGAAACTAATACTGCTAATGGAGTCAACATGTCTACAACACACAGGATCTTATTTCGTCAGCATGTCAGACCAGTCCTCCTGTTTGATTGCATGAATTTCTATACATCTCTCTTCTTGCCTTCTTAAAAGCTACTCTTACATTACAGCCTTTTTGCAGCAATTTTATTGCAAGCAATATAAATTGCACGCAAAATTAAAAACTAGAGAAACTAGTCTTCTTACATTTGCGACATTTTCCAAGACTTTTACAGAGTTTTCGAACTATTGACGTTGACATTTGACATCATTTTTAACATTATAAGTTGTTGATATTTCAAAATAAAGAAGTCAAGCGAAATTAGGTGGAAATTCATTTTGAAAATGGATAGAGGAAAAATACAAGTTTTACTCATGGCAATTACTACTACTACTGCTCTTGCCACTTACAAAAAAGGCGCATGGAAAACAGGAGGAATAGATCGTGTTGGAACAAACCATGGTTACAATGGGAAACTTAAGAATAACTAATGAATTCAAAGAGTGTAATGACTTGAAAGCCTTTAAAAACTATCTGAGAATGGATGAGCCTACATTTAATGTTAATGATTCTTCTTCTTCTTCTACTTTATAGTCGACCATTATACAGAACCACCAACACGATAATTAAGTTGTCAAAATCTAAAATCACTAAAAATATGCAAAGTTGCGCGTGAATGACCTTCAAAATTAGAAACATTTCTATATATTTCAAGCCTGAAAGTTGCAGTGAAAATAGGCCGAAACGCATGCGCAATTATTGTTTAACAAAGGCCAGCAATTCAGTTGCCAGCAATTTCTATGAAAAGGCTGTAATGTAAGAGTAGCTTTAGGAATTTTTCGAGTCTATTGGCAGAAGGAATTCCAATGAGAATTAAAAAATGACAAAATATCAAAATGAAAACTAAATGTGAGTGACTATAGTACTTTTAGATCACCATGGACCTACCTCTGAACAATCGTATTCCTTCAACTCTCGCTGCATTTTCGTATGCCAGCTAGGGTTAACATACCTATTATGGAATGAACAGAATATACCGGGTATCAACGTATTCATTGGACAAGCCAGAGTTCTGAAGGCTGTAGGTATGAAATTCAAACTTGACAGGGGTGTTGAATTGAAGAATTTTGAGATTTGTCGATAATACATACTCTCTTATCACCTCCGGTTTTACCGGAAACGACTCCAACTTTTCATTTTCAAATGGGATACACTGTATTTCATTCCATAATCAGTTAGTAATCAATAGTTGGAGTTGTTTTCGGTAAAACCGGAAGTTAATGGGAGACTATGAACTATTACGAAATTTTCCAACTCTCCAATATTACACGCACCCCAGCCAA